GGAAGTGGAGGAGGAGGAGGAGGAGGGGAGAGAAGGAGCAGGAGAAAGAGGAGGAGGAGGAGGAGGCAGGCTGAGGCTGAGGCTGTGACTGCGACTGCCGTTGCCACTGCGACTGTCATCGCGAATGCGACTACGACTGCGAGAACAGCAGAATTCTACAACTGGATTCTCATCTGAATCTTAAGGGGAATGCTTCCAGATATGCTCCTACACATCGCTGTTAGGTTGCTTTGCCGGGATAATGGTCTCAAAAGAGCTCACAGATCACTCCACAGGGGGGTCCGGGCAGGTGTTGGGGCGTTTCCGGGCGGCTTGAGCCGGGCTCGTTTTTCACCAACAGTCACACACTTCGTGCTCTTCGCCTTCCCAGAACTCCATTCCCAGGCCACATTCTGGGGGGCCGGATGCAACAGTCACACACAAAGTGCTCTTCGACATCCCAGAACGCCATTCCCGGGCCACATTCTGGGGGGCCGGATGCAACTGTACACACTTCGTGCTCTTCGACATCCCAGAACGCCATTCCCGGGCCACATTTTGGATGCCCGGAGCCAACTGTAGGCCACTTCGTGCTCTTCGAGTTCCCAGAACTCCATTCCCGGGCCACATTTTGAATGCCCGGAGCCAACTGTAGGCCACTTCGTGCTCTTCGAGTTCCCAGAACTCCATTCCCGGGCCACATTTTGAATGCCCGTAGCCAACTGTAGGCAACTTCGTGCTCTTCGACTTCCCAAAACTCCCATTCCTGGGCTACATTTTCAGCAGGGGCAAGAGCACGACGAGGGGGAGGACGAGCAAGACCAGGAGGACGAGGACGAGCAGGAGCAGGACGAGGAGCAGGAGAGCAGGAGAAGAAGGACGAGCAGGAGGAGGAGGAGGACGAGCAGGAGGAGGAGGACGACCAGGAGGAGGAGGACGACCAGGAAGAGGAGGAGGAGGAGGAGGAGGGGAGGGGGAGGAGTACCAGGAGGAGGAGGAGGAGGAGGAGGAGGAGAGGGAGGAGGAGGAGGAGGAGGTAGGAGGAGGAGGAAGAGGAGGAGGAGGAGGAGGAGGAGGAGGAGGAGGAGAGGAGGAGGAGGAGGAGGAGGAGGAGGGGGGGGGAGAGCACCAAGAGGAGATGAACGAGGACCACCAGGAGGAGGAGGAGGAGGAGGAGGAGGAGGAGGAGGAGGAGGAGGAGGAGGAGGAGGAGGAGGAGGAGGAGGAGGAGGAGGAGGGGGAGAGAACATCACGAGGAGGAGGACGAGCAAGACGAGGAGGACGAGAACGAGGGCGACCAGGAAGAGGAGGAGGAGGAGGAGGAGGGGAGGGGGAGGACTACCAGGAGGAGGATGAGGAAGGAGGAGGAGAGGAGGAGGAGGAGGAGGAGGAGGAGGAGGAAGAGGAGGAGGAGGACGAGGAGGAGGAGGAGGAGGACGAGGAGGAGGAGGGGGGGGGAGAGCACCAGGAGGAGGAGAACGAGGACCACCGGAGGAGGAGGAGGAGGAGGAGGAGGAGGAGGAGGAGGAGGAGGAGAGAGCACCAGGAGGAGGAGGACGAGCAAGACGAGGACGACGAGAACGAGGACGAGCAAGAGGAAGAGGAGGAGGAGGAGGAGGAGGAGCAGAGAGAAAGAGGAGGAGGAGGAGGAGGAGGAGGAGCAGGAGAAAGAAGAC